GCCACAATAGCGTTGGATCAGCGGTCGTACAGGAGGGAGTCGGAAATATGACTCTTGGTCCTTCCATTGACTTTTCCGAGGGTATTTTTTTTCCTCCTCTAATCTCTTCCCCCACAACCCGCTCAAATTATGCAGAACAATGCAAGTGCCATAGGAATGCTTGAGAAATTAGTATCGTTCATAGTTTTCAGTTTCATCGCAATAACCACTGAGCGGTCTGCAGGAGGGGACGGCGGCAGGCCACGGCGCGTCTCCTGCGCCCGGCGCCCGCAGCGGGGCCGATGGCTCTGGGGGGACAGACGGACGGACAGACGGACAGACAGAAAGAGGAGGGTCTGTGGGGTGCGGGCAGGTGCTCGCCCCATGGGGCCCCGCGGGGCTTTGCTCTCCCCGTGGGGAAAACGCCAGCGTTTTCTTGGAGCCGAGCACTGCGAGATCCAAAAAGAGGAAATATCAGGAAACAAATCTTTCTCTCTCTCTTTCTTTTTTTTTTTTCCTTTTGTTTTTTAACTGAGCAGCAACAACAAAAAGAATTGCTCCTTCTGGCAGGCGGTCTGATTGAGTTGCACAAGAACAACACTTGAAATAACATGCAACATTAACGTACTTCTTTTTAATTTGGGGAAAATGAGGGGGGAGGGAGGCGAGAGGGTTTTTAATTTTTTCACCGTACCGTTTGGGAGACTGTTTACCAACCTAATAATAATAATAATAATAATAACAATAATAATAATAATAATAATATTAAATCTGAAAGAAGTGATTCAGTATTTTTTAAAAATGAACAAGGGAATGAATAAGCCACCGGGGTCCTTTGAGGAGGTGACTTGCTGGGCAGATCCAAGAGCTAGAAGTCAAGACTGCATCCAACTTCGGGGTGGTTTTTTTTTTATCACTGGCACGGCTTTGTAGGCAGAAAACATACGTAAGTGGTCGGAGGTCCGTGGCAGCGAAAGCGAGTAGCGCAATTACTGGCAAAGTAGCTAATAAGGAAAAGGCAGACTGTGATAGAGAGAAGCTCTGTAACCACAGTAATTAGCCAATTTCTGGAAAGATCGATCGTCAGGGTGCAAATTGGGTCTGGGGCATCAGCTGCTGAAGTGTTGGGTCTCCCCTAACATCTCGGATGGGGAATTCATAAGTTTCACTGTAACTAGGATGAAATAGCGAAAAGCACAAAAAATAGAGTGGAAAGCTCTCAAATCTGGGTATTTTCCCACTTTCCCAACCCATTCAGTATTTTCCCCCTTGAAAAATCACATCAAACCTGGAAATCAATGTGAAAGCCGTCTCGTTGAGTTGCACTTCTTCTAGCACAGGAGCCGTCTCTATGCCAGGCTGGGATTTATGAATTCCCCATTCACCGGAGAGTCCTGCTTCAGTGGCAGATGCTTTTCCGAAAACAACAGATGCCAGTCAAGGAAACCACCCCATCTTGTGCTTCAACCCGTCCCCGCGTCCCAGCCTCAAGATGGATTGTGCCTTAGAGATGCAAACTCATCCCGCGCCCCAGCCTTCCTCCCCAGCACCCCACTTGCATCCTCCCCTTGGGGCGACATCCCCTTTGCTCTGCCCCCGTGGCAGCACCCATGTCCCACCGACTGCTGCGGTTTAGGCTGGCCGTGATGGCACGCTGGTTCAGCTTTTGCTATGGCACAAGGCAAACAACCCCGTGCACTGGGAAGCCTTTGCTCCTGCCCCGCTCCCCGCCTTTGCAGAGAGGGAAGGAGCTGGGAAGATGCAGGTTGTGGGTCCCTTCGTCCTGGCTATGCTGCTCATTGGTGCTCTGGGAGCCAAAATCTGGCTCCCCGCTCCCTGTGGCCGTGGGAAAGGCTTTGGTACCCACAGGCATCCCGCACCTGACCCTGGACGCGGAGCCCCGGCAGCACCCGACCTCAGGGAGAAGGGGTCGAGAGCAGGGTCCCGGCAGCGTTTCAGCTGTGATGGGCTCCGGGTGCTTTC